CCCACCCCACCCCACCCCACCAGTGTGTCTCGTCGAGCATGTTGCTTTATTCCCGGTTTCCGAGGAAAGCTGATGTCAGGCAAGGTGTGTGTGGCGCTCTGCTCCTGCGGCCTGACGCCCCTCTTAAAGCTTGCAGGAGGCTGTTCACTAGCAGGCCTTACTCCTGATGGGGAAAAGGGAGATGTGCTATATATAGTAGGAGGAGGAAACGTGGTTTAGTATTGGTGCTTGCAGTTGACTTTTATGGTCACTCCTTTCCCCCTCTCCCCTTGGTAATATCTTTTCTGGGACCGTGGGGGAAATACAGTGCCACTTTGTGCATGCCATAGCAAAGCTAACATGAGCTGTTTTCTCTATGAATAGTATTGTATCCAAAAATATGATCTGCCACTGTCCTCTGGCATTAGAGTGCCTAGTGCTTGAAAGAGGTAGCGCTTCAGTAAACCTCTCTGCTTTAGAAAGCTAGCTTGCTAAGAGATATTTTTAGCAATTTGAAGTACTGGACCATGCAGGCCATCTCTGTAATTATTCTGAAGCGTATTTTGCCAATGTTCTTGCTGTGCTGCGGCATACACTCTGTAAAAAAGAGCATATTTAAACTTTGATGTTCTTGGTCTTGCTGACTGACTGTCAGCAGGCTGCTACTCTTTTTATCACTGGCAGCCTGAGTTTACTGGTTACTAATTAATTGCAGTGAAACCAGATAGCCTAGAAAGCTCATGCAACTTGTCTTAAGCCCGCTTGGTTGAATAACCACTGTAGTAAGTCGCGTTTGTCCTTTCCAGCTCACCATCCCACCCCCCATGAATATATGTAAAGTGAAAATAAATGTCTCAACAGAACGTATGTTCTCACCTGCTTTCTGTGGAGATGATGATTCAGATAAGCTGGGTTCTGTGCTGTTACTATTAATGACTGGTGCAGAGAACTGCAGGTGAGCCTGAACTCATGTACATAGCGCTCTGCTGTGAACTTATGCAATTGTATTTGTGTGCAGTTTGTTACACAGAACATAAACAGTTCTGATCAGAAGCAGTCATCCATTTAAAAAATGATTTGTCTGACTGTGATTGGTTACTGCCTTAGTGCCAGGGGCACTTCTTCTCTTTCATTAGCTAGATCGGTTCTTGCTGAACAGTGTGAAACACCTACTCAATATTGATTGGGACAGGCATGTTCTGGATAACCACAGATGAGAAATTCTGCACTCAAGGGAAAAAAAATGAACCATTTTCTCCATGATGAGTAGTACTACTGCTCTTGAGATCTATGTGATTGCTTACAAAGCAGTGGAATTTTCCTCTGCTGATGTTTCTCTTAAACC